TTAAGTCGTACACTGTGTACATTACTAATAAAAATCTTACGTTACGGACTTTTTTCCCGGTTAGGGTACCCTCCGCATCGTCCCATAAGGAAATTCGTTCCAAAAAATTATGTTACTTTTAAAAGTCAATGAGAAAAACATGAAGGAAAATTATTTGCAAAAGGGATGGAAAAGAACAAAACCCTAATGATGGATCATTTTACAAAATAACCTAATCTGATGATCGATTTAAGCCTTAGATGGTTGGTATCATTAAAATAAACAATTTTCGTTCTGTGCTTTTTAAATTTAAATGTAATTATACCTGTGGCTGGTATTTGTTTGTATTCCTAATTGTTTGTTTTATTTAAAGTTACTATTATCATTATTAAATCGTAAAAAATATTTTTATATACACATAATTATATTATCATGTCATGTGTCAACGTGTTTCCACAATATATTTGATCATAATAAGTTCAATTACTCAAAAAATAATACAAAAAACTTAATAAAAAGACTTTCGTATTTATAACATTGGACCATTTCAACTAATATGGACCCACATTTGTAATATTAGAGAAACCTGCTATAATCTTTTAATGCCTTTTAAAAAAATGTTTAAAAAGTCATGTGAGTATTCTTTGGCCGTGCGGTGAATGGTCTAGGATAGCACTACCCAATTAATTCTCGTAGCTGTCGTAAAAGGTGACTAGAAAATCACCGGAGAATGGTCAGCAACATTATTACACTATTATACTAGTATACTGTGAACGCCAACCGACATTTACTTATGGTAGGGTGTATTAAAAGCTCTCAGGGTTGGTATAACCCCTGTACCAATTTCTGCAGAGCAGTAGTGCTTTCGGGCTTGAAGACTAGCACACCAATTGCACAATATAATTATAATTGAGACTTTGATCTCATCAACCAATCTTATCGACCGTCTCAAGATGGCGGCATTCATCTTGTGAAGTCTATGGTTTTCGGTGACCATTTAAAACCAGGTGGGTATACCCCAACATTTACCTTAAATAAGTATATAAAATAAATAAAAAATAATTGTATGTATGAAATGTTTAAAAAAAATGCGTACTTTTGCTTGAATATACTATAAAACAACCTAAAAATAGCGACTAAAAGTTCAGTTAAGCAGTGAGAGCTGCACTTATTACAGTAAATGACCCGTCGAGGGTATAATTACATATTTTTCACGCTCCATTCATAGAAACTTCACTAATTTCGTTGTTTCCCCATGAAGAATTAAATGAATGCACGCGTAGTTACCCTGTGAATGTTTTCTGTTTGTTTGCATTGTTGCTCTAAATTTAAATAAGACGGTACTGTTTTGATAGATATTTTTAAAAAGTTTTTCTTCATCGATGCTAATTATTTTTTACTGGGCTGCCTCGAAAGGTCGCGTTGTAGCTGAGGCTCTTGTAATTTTGTATTGTCAATAAATAATGTGAATTTTCAGGGCATGTAATAATAAAATAGTTCTCATTAAACCTAAAAAGTTTAAAAAAAAACCGTGTATAGCCGATTCCAAATTGAAATATCAAATTACTTCAAACGAAATTTACGTTATTATTGATTTACTGGGTGGCTCAAAAATCTAAACGAAGATACCTATACAGAATTTTGAAAGTACATATATTTTAATAATGCAAATATCATTAGTCTCTTCTCGGTACTTAAAAATTAGATCCTCGAGTGATCCTTTGTTAAGGGTGAATATACATAAATATAAAGTAAGCATTTTCTTTTATTTCAAATAGCACAAGGTAATGACCCTTAACAAAGTCCTTATTTATCCTACTCGATCGCAATAAATTGTTATTTATTAGATTCCCCGTGGATTTGGTATAAATCAATTGAAACTGTGTCCTCGATTCCTCCTAATGAGACGTCAATTTTATTCAACCCTTGATTGTACGCAGGTAAATCACCTTTCAATGTGATGCTTACACTGAAAATGCGTAGTGAAGTAAGTTCTCCGTTACTTCACTCTATCGACGATACATACATATGTATTTGTATATTGTTAACGAAACAATAACTAATATTGCAAAAAAGGTATTTTATTTTTATTGCGTGGGCAAATCCAAACCGTGAGTAGCCAAATATTATGTGCGTAGATCTTTTTCTTTTTTTATTGCGTAGACCTGTGCACGATCTAACGGTCCACCTTCAGTCTATTTTGAGGTTTAAGATTTGTTATCTTAATTGATGTTAATATCGCAAAATGAAATTTTTGCGTGTTTGCTTTTTATTACGCGGTGGTATTCCTACGTCAGGAATGTAATTAGAAAAAAAATGGTATCCACCTGGGTTTCGAATACTAGGATAGTAGCATCGCTCGACACGAGTATATGGGGCATTTTATCCTTTAGTCTACGACGACTTATTGCTTAGTACAAAAATATCTTTTATTAATAGAATGTAAGAAGATGTCAATTTCGTTTTTAATAACGACTGTACTTTTTTAAAAATATATTAATTAGCTTAGCACTCATCGGAACCGATGTCCTTGTCGAATCACGCCGTATCACTTAGGAAAAAGGCTCTAGGGCGAGGATCGATAAGGAAAAAGTGATAATGAAAAACCGTAGCAAACCGTTGCAAGATCGTCACACATGTATACCGTTCCGTTCGAAGAAGAAGTGACACATGTCAAGTCGCGAAGGCACCGTCAAATCGCGACTAGTGTTACCGTGATAAAAACTCAAAAACCCACCGATTGGTTTCGAACACATCATTTCGTCATTACTTTCGAATTATGAATTGCTCACCGAGAATGCATTGAGCATTAATTATAAATCTTACATTTATAAATACATATATTTTTTAACAAATCCTTAAATAAATTTGTATCTACTGAAAAAATCTGAAACTGTGACGAGGCCAAATAATTACGAACGGGCTCCTGGTGGAATCTTTGATGCCTTAATCAGGTGTCGCCCGACGGCCACGCCTATCACAGTAATTAGAATGTCTCCTTGTACAGTGCCTCGCACCTCTATGTGTGACTGATGAATACCAAAGTGCCTTAATGAAACTGCTATAAAGGTAGAATTATTTTCTTTTTAATTAAAATCTGTGGTCCTCTCTTTTAATGTCTAAAATTAAAATGTCTTAACTTTTAAGGTATTATTTTTGTAGTAAAACAGCAGGTAGCTGCGTTTGATTATACACTTGATTTAATATTTAAACCAAACTAAGACGAAGAGAACGGATATCCCTCGTAGTTCATGATCTACGTAATTAAAAATGGAGTTAAACCATTCCGCGTTAGTTTCAACTAACACACAGGCTAATGGCACACGCTGTAATTACTATAGCTTACCTTTGCAAAGTAATAAACGCTCATTTATTATTAGTGCTTCTTGTTGCTTAAATGCGACTTACTCAAATGACTGCTCTTATGGATACGATTTTTAAAATACACAAATAAAGTGCGCGTTTAAAAAATGTCTAATATCGTTTATCTTCGAAAAAATTTAATTCGCAATTGTAGTAAATTCAACGAATTAAATTTAAAAAAAAAACGGATTGCAATAAAACAATATTATTTTTATTATTATTTTCACAAAGGTGAATGCCGCTTGACCCCCTTAACATATGTATGAAGTCCAAGACTAAATATTATAACAGCTAAGATTGTATTCAAACCGGAAGGCCTACTGTTTCGTTGTAGAAACAGCAGAGTACTTATTTAGTTACAAAACGGCTTGAAGGCTGGTACAATCGTATCGCTCAGTACGCGTCTGATGCTTTAGGCTACGAGGGCTTTAAAATAAAAACCAAATGGTGACATTAAATATCACTTTCACTCCGTCAAAAATGACTCATTCAAAGCCTTACTAGGTACAATCAGGTACATGATTTGTTAGTTATTCAACTGTTGTTTAAGCTTCCATTAAGTCAGAAGTTATCTGGTAACCTACCCCTTAATACATCAATCCAGTCCAGATACCATAATCCGTAACAAACTTTCTGATAAAGAAGCAACATCGAAGTCTCAACTAATGTTTTACGTTTTTCCCTATTCGCGGTGTACCTTTCAGAATCTACAATATTCAGATCGAGTTGGATTTGTGAGTTTAACTTTTTCCAGTTATTATTCATAAATGCAGAAGCGTAGATATTAGACGCTTCAAAAGTTGAGGGATTGAATTTGTGAGTTAGATTGAATCGTGTCAATATAACGTTGAACTGCGTCTGATGTGTCTGACGCGCTAATGCTTCGCCCCGATCCAATATTTTCCATTTTGCAGATTCTCTCACAGAAATATCCTTTATTTTACGTTTGTTTGGAGTTGTTAGCGGTCTTGAAAACGATTAATTCGAAGATATCTTTAAATTAGTCAAATATCAGATACTTTCCGTCAGGCAGGTTTAAAGTTTATTGTTAAAACTGATCACTTTTCAAAATATTCATGCTTACAGTTGACAATTACAAATTACGGATCGTTTGAAACTTCTGGGTCTGCGGAGCGACTTCGCTTCTCTCTGCATTTTGTACTGCATGTTCCATGGGGAGTGCTCTGAAGAATTATTTGAGATGATTCCATCATCTCGTTTTTACTATCGCACCGCCTGCCACCGGAGTAGAGTTCATCCATACTACCTGAAGCCACTGCGTTCATCCACAGTGCGTTTCCAGAGATATTTTTTGCCACGTACCATCCGGCTTTGGAATGAGCTCCCCTCCACGGTGTTTCCTGAGCGTTATGACTTGTCCTTCTTCAAACGAGGCTTGTGGAGAGTACTCAACGGTAGGCAGCGGCTTGGCTCTGCCCCTGGCATTGCTGAAGTCCATGGGCGACGGTAACCACTCACCATCAGGTGGGCCGTATGCTCGTATATCTACAAGGGCAATAAAAAAAAAGTTAGTGTTAAAGTTTCTAAGACATATCATTAAATATGTGTCACGTATTTATGCGCTGATCTACAAACTGTACCTTTATTTAAAATATTTTTTAAAGTTTTTTATCTAATAAAATTTAACTTTGTTTCAGTGAAGCAATGTGGAAGACATAGAACATACTAGAAAAATGAATGAAGTGATTCGTTCCGCACAGAGCACCATGGCGTTGCTGTGGATTTTGTCGGGGCTGGCTGTCATTGAAGCTGTTAAAGTTGTTATAGAGCCGCTGCCTAAAGGTAAGTGCTTAGTTAATCGAGCAAATTATGAATTGGTTTTACTTGTGGCAGGGCATATTAAAAGGTCATACTAGTAAATACCACGGTTCTGACTATTTATGCGCCGAAGCACTCATGCCGCAATGTGTAGGAAATCTATTGTTTAGTTAATCCAGCAAATTATGAATTGGTTTTACTTGTGGCAGGGCATATTAAAAGCTCATACTAGTAAGTACCACGGTTCTGACTATTTATGCCGCGAAGCACTCATGCAGTTTAAGGTGTAGGAAATCTGTTTAACAATACAATTGAGGCTTTGATCTCTTTTTTTATTGCTTAGATGGGTGGACGAGCTCACAGCCCACCTGGTGTTAAGTGGTTACTGGAGCCCATAGACATCTACAACGTAAATTCGCCACCCACCTTGAGATATAAGTTCTAAAGGTCTCAGTATGGTTATAACGGCTGCCCCACCCTTCAAACCGAAATGCATTACTGCTTCACGGTAGAAATAGGCAGGGTGGTGGTACCTACTCGTGCAGACTCACAAGAGGTCCTACCACTAGTGTAAAAAACTCATATTTCGAGGTGGCTTTGCAGCGTTCACATTGAGATCTCTGTGGGCTCTAGTAGCCAATTAACACCCAGTTAACCTTGTCTATTAACCCAGAGCAAGAATGTCTAAAAATATTCCGAAATAAGTTATCATATTGAAGTTAGATTAATTACTTATTAACTCAGTCGAATCAGATTTTCTCGTAAAAATATCATTAATATTTTACGTGACATTTGGTAATTAAGGAGTTCTACAGTTTTCGATCCTATTAAATATTAACGTTATCGCTAAATTACTTAATGAATTTCGATACTTGAAACATCTAGGAAGGGCAAGGTTTTGCCGGTCCCAAACTTCTCCCCTAGATGTCCGCACGGCTGACTCCGCTTTAGTTTCGTTTAATTTCCTATCTCTCTTGTCGTGACGTTTATTGCCGACTTGTTCACCCACACCAGCTTAAAACAAGCCTACTTTTGTTCACAGACTCTAATAACAATTTCGTATTAATTTTTATTCTCTCTGCGTTGTCTATTTTCGGACTTGGTCGCTCCGACGCTTTATTGTTTTCCAATTAATTTACAGTCCACAGCTGTGGGTAACGCAGATCTCGGTGGAGTTTTTATCCTGTGCCTTCGGTATTCTTTCTTTAGAAATTGGGAGCTCCTATTAATATTAATTAAAAAGTTGTTGAATAATTGAATGGATTCGGAATTGTTCATGGTTTTGTTGGGCTTCGCCGACAATGAATCACCGCAATAATTAAAACTTGAAGGAGTTCATTATTTGGTTTATGCGAATGACAGATATTAAACCTATATATCACTGTCCGTTTCAGTGTCATTCTAAATATGATAATGTTTGATGGAAATTTATTAGAATTTTATATTGTTAACTAGCTGGTCCGGCAAACGTTGTTTTGCTATATAAATTAGTTCTAGGAAAGATAAATAACCTAGATTCCGACTGCAGTGCCATCTGCCGGGCTGATTTGTGAATCTAAACCATCCAGGGTGCCACCCAAACGCATACAAAAAAAATCATTCAAATCAGTCCAGCCGCTTAGGAGGAGTTTAGTGACAAACACACGCACAGAAGAAATATACATTGTTAACCAGCTGACCCGGCAGACTTCGTAGTGCCTCAATCGATAAATAAAAGACCAAAACTTTTGTATAAAATAAACTTAAAACAAACAAAAGGAATCCGTCCGACGGGGGACACATCAAAGAAAAAACAAAATTGTTATTTATATTTAATTTCGAGCATTTTCACATTTATCTACCTTTTAAACCTTCTCTGGACTTACACAAATAATTCAAGACAAAAATTAGCCAAATCGGTCAAGCCGTTCTCGAGTTGTAGCGAGACCAAACAGCAATTCATTTTTAAATATATAGATATTAAAATGATATCACAGCAATAACACTGAAAAGTTTGAAATGTTTTGTATAATTAGATTAAAAATAAAACACAACAGTAAATTGAAATGACGCAAACGGTACAAGCCTATAAAACGATTTGAAATGCAAGTCACGAACTAAAAGTACAATTAAGAGTTCGCAGTCGGCATATAAAAACACGAAGACGCATTTTTGCAATGCTTCAGGTAATTGTTGGAAAGAACGATCGTTTGCACGTTAGGATTTTCTCTGTTTATTTATAAAGAGTTCAAAAAAATATTTTACAAACTTCACAAACTAAGGAAAAAAAAGGCGTACTGCTGTAACACCGTAATCAGATATTATCGTACTATCTATAAATTAATACGTGAAGCAAAAACTTTGTATCCCTTTTTACGAAAATTGCGCGGACGGAGCAGTATGAAATTTTCCACACTTATAGAGAATATAGAGAAGAAGTGCACATTGCTTATATTTTTTTTAAATAATGCATAAAAGATACATTAAATTAATAAAGAAAACATCACACACACTACATACCATGTATTTGACGCACACACGCATGCATACTATTTATTGTCAAACTTTTGTTCTTGACGTCTGTTGTCAAATTGAGAATAGAATATGGTTTGTCTTTGTTCATACTTTTTATAGTGTAGTCTTGGCGAAATTTGTGATTATAGTAGTATAAAATACAATCATAATAGTGTACAAACTTACAATTCCCATTAATTATAGTCGAATTTCGACTACTGCGGGACCTCTAGTTGAATTAAATTTTATTTCAAAATATGTATTCCTATAAGCTGGGTTTAATTTATTAAATATAATTACTTGATAACGATTATAAACTTGAGGACAGATGAATTTTTATTTTGTACCACTTTGAATTAACTGCATTTTTGTGCTAGGCACCTCTTTTTATTAATATAATTAAAAGCTAATGAAGTTACCGTCAATTCGCCATTTTTATTGTTACACTTTGAATTGTTTTTTAATTATCATTATACCTATATAAATGCCTATATGCAGATAAACTCAATGATACAGAAATAATAAAACTCCTCCTATTTATTTGAGACGGTATTTGCACCGGCCACATTGTTTATGAAGCAGTTACGAATACTATACAAACGAATTACATTTGCCCAATTTCGAACGGAGAAATATAGTTCAAGAGTTTGGTCCAAGATACGACAGCTTATTTTACTTGCGTTACAATTGCGTGCAAAAATGTTGTCATAAAAAAAAATTTGACCATTACATAGCAATATATAATAAATTGATTGTACTGTTTCAAAGCTTACACGATTTGGATATTTGTATTTAGTTGAATTTTGTTTTAAATTCATAGTTATTTTAAGACCAAAATGAATTACACCATCAGCTATATACCTGTTATAGTGCCTACGAAAAGATTTTCTCGTTTTAAATTTATAATCAAAATTATTGGATATGCGTAAACTTGGACCACACTTCAATGTGTCTCGTGCCTGCAGGCAGATTTACGACTGCCAATTAAAAGTATAGATGGTAACCTGCCGACGACAAATGTGCACGACTCATACGCCGGACGTTTCCAGACGTTTTGTTCCTACCCGCGCCCGTGACGTAGCCATACGGGATGTTTCAAAACGGAAACAGCTCACGTTATTGATTAAATATAAATTTACAAGCAGGAACTTTAGTTCGAACAAAACATCGAATTTAATTTAAATGCATAAGTATTCTACTACGTAAAGCAAAACTAAAGCTTCCATTAAGGAGATTATTGTATTTACAATGCGAAGTCTTGACTTTCAAAACCTTTTGTTCTCGAGATTGCCTTTAATTAAAGCAATGGTATTGGCTCTGATTNCGTTATTGATTAAATATAAATTTACAAGCAGGAACTTTAGTTCGAACAAAACATCGAATTTAATTTAAATGCATAAGTATTCTACTACGTAAAGCAAAACTAAAGCTTCCATTAAGGAGATTATTGTATTTACAATGCGAAGTCTTGACTTTCAAAACCTTTTGTTCTCGAGATTGCCTTTAATTAAAGCAATGGTATTGGCTCTGATTTCATTACTAGCCTTTTAAAGTAAAGAAAATCGGGTATACGTTTCGTTTATCATTACTCAGGATTATTAAATTATTCTCTCTTCGTTCTTTCGCGAACCATAAAACGTAAATCTAACAAAGATTCTGTTCGGGCTTTTAGTTAACTTTTACGACAACGTCTGAGTTTAACGGTTAGATTTAATTGCATTTGTACTGTACTGGGGTATTTTGATGCTTTGCTTTCACGTTTGGTTACATTGTTTTAAGTTAATATCGGGCACAGCAAAGGTCGCGGGCTCTTGAATTGTGCTCGTCCTGAAACTAATTTGGTCGTTGTACAGTAAAATTACAAAGTTCTTCATCGGCCAAGTCATTTCGTTGACAAAGTTGCAATTTAAGCACCCACTCTGCTGTTGATGTCCTATCTTCTTATTTCATAGGTTAATATAAAACGAAGAACATACATAGGACTGTAGGTTGTAGGAAATTTTACGAAGTAATTTTCGATACATCACATTTATGATTTTTTTATACCCATTTGTAGATACGACTCGCGGTCTATATCATAAGATGAAGTACCTGTAATCTGTCCTGAAGTGAAATAGTAAATATATATGTAGTTTAAAAACTTTAAAGAAAACACTTAAATTGCAAACCGAACTGTCTGGACTAACATCCAGAGCAGACCTAAAGGTCTAGTGATGAATGAATGAATCTAATGAGCGAAGTTATACAATTATTGTGTTATCACCGGTCCTGGATACGAGTACACATTTTCCAGTTAATCGGATCTCTTGAGGTAAATGACGTTCAAATATTCCGTTACCAAACAAACATACATACAAACAAACGAACAGAATATTTATTTGCGTAAATTAGACAAGTCTTACTTTAAAGATCGGTAAAAAAATGCAGTATATACTTTTTGGATGTTTTGAAAACACTCTGTTTTTGTTTGCGAGGGTCTGTCTGTCGGAAGGGGAACGATTTGTGACACTAAAACAAATGACGCGAACTCC